CTTTTTCTTTTTTTGTTGATTGTTTTGAGCATCATTGTTATGGTGGAACAGATATCAAAGCAGCCTTGAGAACAACAAACGAGTTGATCTCTTTGATGGGCCTAACGAAGGTTATGGGGAAGATAATGTCGTGCTAGCTTCATGTATGGATCTTAGCTTATGTTTTATATCATGCTCTTACTGGTTTGTGACATTTGCTACATGGTGAATGAGTTGTAAATATGAACATGCATTGTGACTTGAGTTTTAGCTTTCTTATTAGATTATCTGGTGGCTTTAGTGATAAATACATGGATTCACAAACTCATTTGTCTCAATCTAGCTTTTTGGCCTTTTCTTCTCCCTCTTAAATGTTTCAAAAATAATTTCCAGTTATATTTAGATTGATTATCCAATTGAATAATGCTTACATAAGATGTGCAGATAGTATCCTGTAATCATTAGCATATTCATTTGCAAATGCAATCATTCTGGTAACAGGCATGACAAAGAAGCTTCTATAACACATAAGATTACTTAATACTTTGCATTCATAGATTGATGTAAGTAACTTTAAACAGTAAGCAACCTGTTTCCCTAAGCAACTTTTCATTTGGTAAAAATTAAGGGGATTACCAAGAACTTTTCTGTCTTTTAAGTTATTAGAGTATTAATGGAAAAGTATGAAGCTCTGCTGTTTCTATCTAATGCCTGAATAACTGGCATTCTACATAATTGTTTGGAATCATGTCTTGCCATATGCTGGCATTGACAAGAAAAATTATCTTTTCTTGCTCCTGTTTTGAGCTGTTTGTGAGGAAGATATCATATGTTTTGCAGCTATGACAAATCAGCAGCTTATAGATAAAGGAAATCAGATGATGGATGAGACTGATCAAGCCATTGACAGGGCAAAAAAGGTTAATCTGTGTGCCCAATCTGCCCTGTATTAGAATTTTAACATTATACTGGTAATTTTATGATGTCTCTGTAGTTCTACTCATCCATAACTTCTTTGTAGAGCCAATCAGAAGTGAACTTTCATGTTTTCAAGTAATGTATGGCATTTTCCTTTAGTGTTCAAATCGGACTGATTGTTGGGTGCTCCCGTGCACAACAGGTTGTTCACGAGACCATAAATGTTGGAACAGAGACAGCAGCAGCCCTCAAGGCTCAGGTATAAGTTCAAAGCAGTAAGCATAACAATACGATGGCAATCTGGCAACCTAATAAAACCTAATAATAAGATAGCACATCGTATCTACAGTCCTTTTCTTTTTTGGTTTCATTCATTTGGCCTTTGGGTCTTTTGTGGTTTCGACGTAGTATTGGAACTAAGATATTTAACTTCTTTCATGTTTAGACCGAGCAAATGAGCAGGGTAGTTAATGAACTGGACTCAATCCATTTCTCTCTCAAGAAAGCTTCTAAATTGGTCAGAGAACTTGGTAGGCAGGTTGATCTCCGAAAACCCATTTTCTTTAGTTTATTTACATTTTCTAGTTTCATTAGGCATCACTCAAAACTTTTTCCCCATAGGTTGCCACTGATAGGTGCATTATGGCATTGCTCTTCCTTATTGTCATGGGGGTGATAGCAATCATCATCGTGAAGGTACGTTTTGACAACTTTGCTCCAACCCCGACTAGCCAACTACTTGATCAGTCGACTATAGGACCGCATGTTGACCTTTATGGCTTTCTTAGTCAATTTTTCTAAATTCCACTTACGTTTTATGTGGTCGTTCAGTCATCATGTCTGCCTTTTCAGATTGTGAATCCAAACAACAAGAACATTAGAGATATTCCAGGATTAGCGCCGCCTGCAATGACTAGGCGATTATTATGGACTCGTGATTAAAAAGACTCAGCATCAAGTCGTTTCCATCTTGTGATGTCATGGATAATTGTGATCGGATTGGAACAAAGAATAGTAAATAGCTTGTGTTGGTTGTTGCAGCAGTCAATTTGTTGAAGAGTTTAGCAGACTTCCTCAAATATTGGCATGATTAACTGAATAGCATCAAACTCCCCTAAACCAAGCGGGAAATTTATGTAAATTAGATTGCATCATAGCTGTAATAACGCCTGCATGATTCTTTTACTGAATTTGTTCTTACATTTTTTTTTAAATTAATCTGATTTATTTATTTACAGGATTGTGAAAAATTAAGATGTTTTGACGCTTTAAGTGGAATAAATGAGAATGAAAAAATTAAAATATTTTTAATGAATTAATATGTAAAAAACTTTATCAATGGTATTTAAATAATTTTACAAAAAAATATTTACATTTAAAA